TACCCTAATATCTAACAAAATAGACTTCAAACTAAAATCAATCAAAAGAGATGAAGGACATTTCATATTCATTACAGGAAAAATCCATCAAGATGAAATATCAATTCTGAACACTTATACCCCAAATATAAGGGTACCCACAGTTATAAAAGAAACATTACTAAAGCTTAAAGCACACACACTAATAGTGGGAGACTTCAATACCCCACTCTCACCAATGGACAGGTCTGCCAGACAAATTTAACAGAGAAATAAGAGAACTAACAGATGTTATGACTCAAATGGGCTTAACAGTCATCTATAGAATATTCCACCCAAATACAAAAAGAATATACCTTCTTCTCAGCACCTCATGGAACCTTCTCTGAAATTGACCACATATTCGCTTACAAAGCAAATCTCAATAGATGCAAAACTTTGGAATAACTTCCTGTATCTTATCAGATCACCATGATTTAAAGTTAGAATACAACAACACAAATTACAGAAAACCTAAAAACTCATGGAAACTGAATAATGCTCAACTGAATTACCCCCGGGTCAAGGAAAAAATAAGAAAGAAATCAAAGACTTCCTAAAATTCAATGAAAATGAAGGCACAATGTACCCAAACTTATGGAAGACTATGAAAGCAGTGCTAAGTGGAAAGTCCATAGCACTAAATGCCTACATAAAGAAAGTGGAGAAATCTCACACTAGTGACTTAACAGCACACCTGAAAGCTCTAGAACCAAAGAAGCAAACTCACCCAGGAGTAGACAACAGGAAATAATCAAATTGAGGGCTGAAATCAATAAAAAAGAAAGAAAGAAAACAATACAAAGAATCAATGAAACAAAGAGTTGGTTCTTCAAGAAAATCAACAAGAAAAACAAATCCTTATCCAAACTAACCAAAAGACAGAGAGAGAATATGCAAATTAATAAAATCAGAAATGAAAAGGCGGACATAACAACTGACAGGAAATTCAGAGAATCATTAGGTCGTACTTAAAAAATCTGTGTTCCACAAAACTGGAAACTCTAAAAGAAATGGATAATTTTCTGGATAGGTATCACATACCAAAACTAAATCAAAACCAGATTTTTTTTAAAAAAAATATTTATTTATTTATTATATATACAATATTCTGTCTGTGTGTATGCCTTCAGGCTAGAAGAGGGCACCAGACCTCATTACAGATGGTTGTGAGCCACCATGTGGTTGCTGGAAATTGAACTCAGGACCTTTGGAAGAACAGGCAATGCTCTTACCCTCTGAGCCATCTCTTCAGCCCTCAAAACCAGATTTAAATAGACCTATAACCCCTGTGGATTTAGAAGCAGTCATTAAAAGTCTCCCAACCAAAAAAGCCCAGGGTCAGATGGTTTCAGCACAGGATTCTACCAGATTCTCAAAGAAGAGCTGATACCTGTACTCCTCAAATTGTTCCACACAATAGAAACAGAAAGAACTTTGCCAAACTCTTTTTATGAGGCTACAGTTTACCCTTCATTCCAAGTCAGACAAAGATACAGCAGAGAAAGAGAATTACAGACCAATCTCCCTCATGAACATTGATGCAAAATTACTCAATAAAATACTAGCAAACCAAATCCAAGAATACATAAAAAAATTATCCACTATGATCAAGTAGGTTTCATTCCAGAAATTCAGCGATGGCTCAACATACAAAATCCTGTCAATGTAATCCAACTTATAAACAAATTGAAAGAAAAGAAATCACATGGGTGGGTAGGAGGTAGAGGGAGGGGAAAGGGAGGGAGAGGGAAATGTGGTTGGTATGTAAAAGGAATAAAAAAATTAAATAAAAAAACAGAAATCAGATGGAAAGAATGATTTAATGCATTAGAAAAAAATAGACTGAACTAAAAGCTAGCAGTTGAATGAAAATAAGGATTATGGTATAGATAAAAGCGTTTTTATAAAAAGCAATCAAGAGTCAACCATAATTGATTCTCTAAAAACCATCAACAATTTTTTCTAAAAAAAAAATCTTTAGCTATAGTAAAGTAACTGTGGCAAGGGAAGGAGGGAGGGAGGGATGAGGGAGAGACAGAGAAAGAATAAACTGGGGTATATTGAGGTAAAAAATCAGAACAAAGTGAGAAATCACTATCAACATTCAAGACATTTCAAAGGGTTATGGCAATACTATGAGTTACTGTATACCAATAAATTTGGTAAGTTGGATGAAATAAAACCACATCTGAATGGTCCTTGAAAAAAATGCAGAGATTAGATCAGTATCCAAAACCATCTAACAAAGAAAGTTCAAGACCTTGGGCTGAGGAGATGGTACAGCAGTTAAAAGCACTTGCTGGCCGGGCGGTGGTGGCGCACGCCTTTAATCCCAGCACTCGGGAGGCAGAGGCAGGCGGATCTCTGTGAGTTCGAGGCCAGCCTAGTCTACAGAGCGAGTACCAGGACTGGCTCTACAGCTACTGAGAAACCCTGTCGCAAAAAACCAAACACACGCACACACACACACACACACACACACACACACACACACACACACACACACACACAGCACTTGCTGCTTTTACAAAGAACATAAGTTGCTTCCCAGTATACACATGTTAGTTTCCTAACTGTCTATAATTCCAACTCTAGGAGATCCCATACCCTCTTCTGACTTTCATACATACCAGGTATTCACATGTAGCACACACATACACGAAGGCAAACACTTATATACATAAAATAAAAATAAATATATCTTGGAAGGGGAGCACTGAAAGGGTACCAAACAGTTAAAAAGGAATTAACAATCTTTCTTAAATTCTTCATAAACTATTGGAAATACTTCCTAGCTTACTCCATGAAACCAACATTACCCTGATAGTAAAGTCAAAAGAGATATGAAAATAAACTAAAAACCATTATCTCCTGTGAATATAGACCTTAAAATCTTCAAGAAAATGTCAGCATACCAAATCCAACAGCATTTTAGGAAGAATCACACCACAACCAAAAAGAATTTATTTCAATGATACAGGGGAAATGAAGTTAGAAAATTAATCCATGTGATGAAGATAGAAAATGAATCAATGTATTTTAAGACATGAACAGAATGAAAGAACACACACACACATGCACACACACAAATTCACTACAGTTGACATAAGAAAAACATTTAACCAAATCCACAACTTTTATGTGAAAACTATGTAAAAAACTATGAGTAAAAGGCAACTTCCTCAGCATGAGAAAGGGGAAAATCTGCAGCTAACATGAAACTCAAAGACAAAACACTCAACACTGTTTGAAGACCTGCAACAAAATAACTGTGCCCACTTTTGTTACATGTTAACTCTAAAGAGGTCATAAACCTAAATGCAACAGATAAAAATTTTAAAATTCTTAGAAGAACAGGGAAATCTTCATGATCATGAGTTTGGCAATGGATTATAAAAACATATATATATATATATATATATATATATATATATATATTTCAACCAAATTTAAAACTTTTGTATATCAAAGTGCATTACCAAGAAAGGACCATTTGGCACATACAACCAAGTAACGTTATACATACTGATCAGGCTATACTTAGGAATATATATGAGTATACATATGTGCATGTAACAGCAATTAGTGAAAAAGAGGCTAAGAAATTCAAGAGTGGTGAGGGATACATGGAAGGGTTTGGAAAGAGAGAAAGGAAGGGAAGGGAGGGGAGGGGAGGGGAGGGGAGGGGAGGGGAGGGGAGGGAAAAATGTTGTAATTACATTATAATCTCAAAAAATACAAAGTGAAAAGACAAACTAATGAAAGGGGAATACAGTTCCAAGTCATATGTGTGGTAGGGCACTTATATCTAGAGAGAACCCTCACAATTCAGTAATAACAAGATAACTGATATTTAAAACTGGCAAAGGTTCTATATAGATATTTCTCCAAATGTTTACAAATGGCTGGTAGATTAAAAGACTGAACATTATTAGAGAAACGTCAGTCAAAACTAGAATTAGACATCACTTCAAATACATTTGGAGAGCCATCACCAAATTAAATAATAAGTATCAAAAAGTGGAGTAGGTAGAACCCTTATATACAGCTGGTAGAAATGTGAAACTGTTCAGCTGCTTGCAGAAAAACTTGAGCAGTTATTCAAAAACTTAGACATAGAGTTAGCTATATAACCCCAGAATTCCTCTCCTAGGCATATACACAACCAAGTGAATGGGGGCACGTCTAGAAAAAAATGTATGTGAATTTGATAGCAGCATTATTTATAGGATCCAAAAGGTATAAAATATTCAAATATCAATATACTGAGAAATCAGTAAACAAATGTGTAGTATACAATGAAATATTATGCAGCCATAAAAAGAAATGATGTATTTCTATGTGCTCCCACACGGGCAAATATTAGAAACACTGTGTTTAGTGAAGGAAGCCAAACATAAAAAAACCAATATAAAGCCAGGCGGTGGTGGCGCACGCCTTTAATCCCAGCACTCGGGAGGCAGAGGCAGGTGGATCTCTGTGAGTTTGAGACCAGCCTGGTCTACAAGAGCTAGTTCCAGGACAGGCTCCAAAACCACAGAGAAACCCTGTCTCGAACCCCCCCCCCCAAAAAAAACAATATAATACAACTTCATTCATGTGTATGAAATATCTGGAATAGGCAAATCAGCAGAGACTGAAAATAGAAGAGTAGCTATTTAGGGGAAAGGAAGGAATAATAGATGGAAATGATGAAAATGTTCTATAATTAGTGCTAATACGTATACAACCTTGTGACTACATTAAAATTGCTGAGCCATATACTTTTAAATAAAAACTGTACAGTTTGTGCACTCTTCTCAGAAGATGAACAGGGAGATGCTGCAGGCACCCGAGAAGACATCTATTTTTTAGGTTAAACAAAGAGAGTAACTGTCACACAATGTAAACCATTTCCCATGGAAATACAAGTCAGAACATTTTCACCCATGCATCTGATAGGTGTGAACAAGAACCAGAGCAGCTTCTGTTGAGGTTACCTGGTGTTTCTTGAAGGCCCGAAGAAGTAAATCAATGTCAGTAAACGTGAGAGGAAACTGCAGCCGAGGGCCATCGTAAGAGTCGGGTACTTCTATCAACCCCAAATATTCCTGTCTATCCTTGTTTTCCTGCATAGGTTTTTCAAAAAGTCGACTTACTATTGCTGGAAAGGAAAGATAAAGAGGTATCAGATGGGGATTCGGCAGTCTAATGCCTCAAAGACCACTCTTAAATATCTGTGCAAGAGACTATACTGCTCTGAATGCCAACAGAGCGCACATAAAACTATGATGAATATCTAATTCTGAAGTTGGTAGCCGCCATCATCCCTTTCTGGAATTATGCTTCGTCAAAGCAGTGAGTCCATGATCAATGGGGAGAAGACCATGAAGCACATGAAAAACTGGTTAGTCAAGGTATTTTGATGTTCTGAAGTTGAAGTCTGATTCTTTGGTTCACTCTTACTTACCAGATCCTTACAAGCAAGGCTAAAAGTATGAACAATGCGCTGCATTTGGTTCAAGCAGCTGCTGCTATTCATGATCTACACAAAATTAAACCGCAACATTCAATTTTCCCCTTGTTAAAGACTTCAGAGGATTTTGCTTAGCTTTAATTGATTTGTTTCTCTCTATGTACAATGTTTCTTCTGTGGTTTTCTTTTTTTCTTGGGAACAAAGCAGATAAAACTTAAATGACAAACCATAGGCAAAAATAACTAAAGGCCACACCCTGTCTCTGAGATATTTCTGTATGGTAATAGTCTGCCAGCACTGCCCGTTTACTAAGGCAATTGAGTATGGCTGAAACCTACAATCATTTCCTGCCAAGTTGCCTATGAAACAGGCCCCTGAACAGAAACCTAGACAATTCAGGCAGAGAAAGGTGCAAGAGAATGTGATAGAGTAGCTGCAAAGTGGCCTCAGGATTGCATCCTAACTTCTATCCATGCTTCTTACAATGTGATCTTCATCAAGAGTATCTTTCCCTTGCTTTCGAGATGACTTAGGCTAATTACTTTAAACTATTCTGAAAAAATGTGGCTCAAGAGCTACCTACCAGCTCCAAGTCCAGGTCTCAAGAGGCCTTCTATGATTCCATGCTCTCTGTTTGGGAACACAGCCATCTTCACTCAGCCCAAGCTCTCCTACCGAAAGGCCATGATTAATGGAACAGGGCAGCTAAACCGAGCCAAGGATGTCCTAGATCAGCTAATAGCCAGCAGATCTCTAGACGCATCAATAAACTCCAGCCAATATTAAAAAATCTGTCAAACCGACTGTGCCAATGTCAGAAATGTTCAGCTAACTTATAGACTTGCTAGGAAAAAAAAACACATTTTTTTCCTATGTCACTGAGATATTGTGGCTCCTTTGTGGTATTATAACCACGTGTTTGTTATTAAGGCTATCACCCTAAGTTCTCTGCAAAAAACAAAAACAAAACAAAACAAAAAAACAAAACCATATCTTTTCTGAATATCTAAAGTTGGTCACCTATGAAAGATAGGGTGCTATCTGATGTAGACAGAGTATATGTTTTCCATGGTCAATTATGATGAGCAGTAAGTCAAGAAGTAAATCTGAAAACTTGTTCTAAACTAGGAAATAACATTTAACAATTTCATTAAAATATATTCTAAATTGTTATGTAATCCCAGTATGTTTTGGTGAGAGTAGATAATACTGTATAAAAAGTGGAACTGAGGTATAATAACATCTGTATTCAATGTGGTCAACAGACATCATTTTTCTCCTTTGATTTTGGTCTGATATTTAGGGAAAACTGAATTTTTCAATTTATGCTAGAAACCAGAAATGCAGGACATCCTGTTTAATTTGATTTCAGATTCATCATGTAGGCAGTGAAGCCTAAATAGTCTCCTTAACTCCCCTAATGATCACACCATTCATTTTATTTGGGAATTGTCCTGCAAAGGAAAGATGAAATATCAGGCAACTCTTAGGAATATAACACCCCTGTCCACAGAAACCCCACAGTTTTACTGCATCAGCTAACGGAGACAAAGTTTTTGTTATAGACTCTAGAAAAGAAAGCGAACATGGAGCACATGTGATTAGAACTGAGGGACCTTGTGTTTTAGGTGAGGTATGTTTATGGCATGACTGTAGTGTATAGTTTTTGAAACGCACCTGATTAAAACATGGGTGTTAGCAGAAAAGAGAAAGAAGTTGAGTATATAGATCTGTAGTGTAGGGATAAGTCCCGCCCCTTAGGGGGCGTGTTCGCCTTGGGCTAATGTTTACCTATAAATCTGGCAAGCATGCTTGCAGGGCTTGCTTCTGCTTTCCTGGTCTCCACAGGAACGGTGGTTCTGTAAGCCTATTTCGCCATTAAAGCTGTATATATATTTACAATCTGTCTGCATTCGTTTATGCCATTACACTGTAGATGCCAATACATATGGAGAACCCCCCTCCCCACATGCGGCCCCTTTCCAAGTCTTCAGAAGCTTGGCAGCCTGGGGAGTCACTTTCTGTTGTCTCCATCTTCAGTGTAACCCTCTTTTTAGGCTTTGTCATACAATAAGACATGGCCAAAGACATCTCTAATTTAAAACACTAGCCCTGGATCACATATCTGCTTATTTGGACATGTCTACATTTATTGCTCCTAGTATTTTTTTCCACTCTAGGACAATCCTTTCTTCTTTATCTTTATGTTTTGGATAATTTATCTTCATCCTTCAAAACTCAGCAGACTTCCCAGGTCGGGTCCCAAACTCTACCATTTCAATAACAAAATTGATGATGATGATGATCGCGACAATGACAAGAAGATAATAGATAGCTCTGACTTACTGCATGCTTGCTACGTAGCAGGCAGTGTTATAAGAAGGTGAGGGTTGCTATTTTCTCATTAAATACATTGATATTGATAAATAAGAAACTACATCAACAATAAAGACTGTTGATTGTGCATTAACCAAAAGAATTAATTTTAATAGATCACGAAAAATGCTAAATTTTTTAATTTAGGAAAAGATTCTATTTTCCTGGTCACTGCCTTCACACATGCTCCCATTTCTCCCCTTCCCATTGGCTAGTAACAAATACATTTTATCAATGCTAGTCAGTGATGAAAACTCGAATTCAGTTATTTTAAGAACAAAACAAAATATTCTTTTAAAATCAATAGCTTAGTATAGTCCTTTCTTCCAGATATTTAGTGTCCCTTATTTCATAAAAAGCTTAATGATAAATTAATGCAAATTCCACTTCTCTAAGTCAATTCATCAGTAAAACTATGCAATATGAAATATTTGAGATTAATTTATTTTAATTTTGGTTTGTGTATATGAATTTCTGCCTGCACATCTATCTTTGCATCACATATATATCTGGTATCCACAGAGGCAAGAAGATGACATTGGTCTCCCTGGCACTGGAGTAACTGAAGATTGTGAGCTGCCATGTGGGCACTAGGAAATGAACCCGGGCCCTCTGCAAGAGCAGCAAATGCTCTTCGCTGTTGAGCTATTTCTCCAGCTCCAATATCAAGTCTTACTCTATATTAAATCATTATCCTTCTGTTGGGTTTTTAGCAAGATGAAAATTAGTAACAGAGATTCTCTTCTAATAACTAGTGTGTATAATGTATGAAAACTGAGTCTTAAATTTATTCCTCTGGCTGTCCTGGAACTCACTTTCTAGACCAGGCTGGTCTTGAACTCACGGAGATCCACTTTCCTCTGCCTCCTGAGTGCTGGCTGGGATTAAAGTTGTGCAGCATCGCTGTCTGGCATGTTTTAACATTTCTAACGCATATATTGTCCTTGTTGCCCATAACTAATAAACAATAATTCAATGAATGCAAGCAATATATGAAAATTCATACAACATTTAATTGGAATTAATCCTTAGTTATTTGATTTATAACTTTGTAAACACGGATCTAAACTAATTAAATATAATAAAATATTAACACAAACAAATGATACTTATACAAGTTGTTATAAGAAAATAATTTTTAAACCCTTGTCTTCACCCATGTTGCCATTTCTCTGTTTCCCACTAGCTAATAACAAGCAAATTTCATCACTGCCAGTGATTAAAACTTGAATAAAAGATCTTTTATTTCATCTGAAGAAGGGAAAAAGTATAAAAATTGAAGCTCATAATTTTTGCACACAGATAATATCAGCTTATGCCACCCACACATTACTTTGAAAAAAAAAACCACATGTTTCTGAACAAGGAAAAGCATCATTTGGCAACATTCATAGTTGTTTCATTTCCTAATTATAAGTCTGTGTCAAAATCATTAGTGTCCATATACTAAATTCAACAGATGCCAAATGACAGCTCATAAAGTTAATCTTAAATCTGGGCCAAAATCATTAGTGTTCATATATTAAATTCAATGGATACCAAAATGATAGTTAATAAAGTTAACTATCAATTTTTGATTTAAAAATATGGAATGGAAGGATATATTCTTGGCATAAATTTTAAATTAAATAAATGAGTGTATTGGTTTCCATTAAATCAACAAAATAAATGCTACCTACTTTCACTTGTTTTTAATACTCTTCTTCTATCTTCTGCAATAAGATAGGAAGCTGAAACAAGAAGAGTTTAACTATTATACAAAAATATATAATAACAAAATCTGTTGATGTGATTAAAAAAATAAAGTCAAGAAAAATTCCAAAATCTGATAAGGAAATTAAATACAATACAGAGATTAATCTCACAGGCTTGAATCACATTTTTATCCCTGATGAGATAAGTAAC